CTGTTACACCAGGGTTGACTTTTATGTACTTTCACATTTCTGTTTTTGTTTGTTTGGTTGTTTTTCAAGTTTCTGACAAATGAACTGTTTTTGCTTTTATTTTAGAGTTTATTGAAGAAAGTGATGAGAACGAAGAATTGAGAGAAGATGAGGAGAAACAACATCATGTCAAAACTGGAGAAAAACCTTTGAGTTGCTCTCAAACCAAACATAAAGATTTAAAGAAAAGAGGAGCCAAGAAATCTTTCACCTGCACTCAGTGTGGAAAGAGTTTGACAAACAAATATAGTCTTGATGTTCACATGAGAGTTCACACTGGAGAGAAACCGTTTACTTGTAATCAGTGTGGGAAGAGTTTCACACAATCATTAAGCCTAAAGAAACACATGAACATCCACACTGGAGAGAAACCTTACAAGTGTTCACACTGTGACAAGAGATTCAGTCAGTCAACACATCTGAAGAAACACAAGGTAGACCACACTGGAGAGAAACCGTACACATGTGATCAGTGCGGGAAGAGTTTCACACAAAAAGGACACTTTATGACACATATGAGAACTCATAAAGGAGAGAAGCCATTCATATGTAATCAATGTGGAAAGAGATTTGCATACTTAGCAAACCTTAACGAACACATGAATATCCACACTGGTGAGAAACATTACAAGTGTTCACACTGTGACAAGAGATTCAGTCAGTCAACACATCTGAAAACACATGAGAGGATTCACACTGGAGAGAAACCTTACAAGTGTTCACACTGTGACAAGAGATTCAATCAGTCAACACATCTGAAAACACATGAGAGGATCCACACTGTAGAGAAACCGTACACATGTGATCGGTGCGGGAAGAATTTTGCACGGAAAGGAATCCTTATGACACATATGAGAATTCACACAGGAGAGAAACTGTACACATGTAATCAATGCGGGAAGAGTTTGATTAGCAAATATAGTCTTGAGCTTCACATGAGAGTTCATACTGGAGAGAAACCGTACACTTGTGATCAGTGCGGGAAGACTTTTGCACGGAAAGGAATCCTAATGACACATATGAGAATTCATACAGGAGAGAAACTGTACACATGTAATCAATGCGGGAAGAGTTTGATTAGCAAATATAGTCTTGAGCTTCACATGAGAGTTCATACTGGAGAGAAACCGTACACTTGTGATCAGTGCGGGAAGAGTTTCACACAATCGGTACACCTTAAGAAACACATGAACATCCACACTGGAGAGAAACCGTACACATGTGATCAATGTGGCAAAACATTTTTGTGGGCTTCAGACCTGAAGAATCACCTAAGAGTTCATACAAAGGAGAAGCCACATTCATGTTCTTTGTGTGGAAAGAGTTTTTCACGTTTTTCAACTTTGAAAGAACATCAGAAAATACATACTGCTGTGAGAGAGTACGTGTGCTTTCAGTGTGAAAAGACTTTTACTTCAGTGAAGTGTTTAAAACAGCATGAGAGGATCCACACTGGAGAGAAACCCTACAAGTGTTCACACTGTGACAAGAGATTCAGTCATTCATCAAATTTGAAAAGACATGAGAGGATCCACACTGGTGAGAAACCTTATCACTGCACTGCATGTGGGAAGTGTTTCAATCGTTCATCGTCTCTACTCAGTCATACAAAAAACTATCACAGTAAGTATTCAAGATTCAGCTAAAATTCTGATCAAATCAAAGATGGAGTTCCTCCCCAAATAACTGTCAAAACATTTTATTATTGTGCTTTCTTATTTTTCTTCACTGTTGTTTTTAAAATGACTAATTATTATTCCACTTAAGATGTATTTAGAAAATGCAGATGCAAGATATAGTGTCATGTAGCGTTGCAACTGATCCTTATTTGCTTCTCTTGTAAGAAGGGATGGGTACCAGAACATGGTATTTAATGGGCCCTTTATTCGTGAAAACCATACCATTAAATAATTGGATTGATGTGCAGTATCGTAGGAATAGTAATACCGTTAAAATCTTAACGATACCCAGGGCTCGAATTGAGCAGGGATGCGGGGGTTGGCATCCACCTGATCGAAAAAAAATAACAAAAAGCATCCCCTCAGTAAAACCACCATCACCTTTAAGATTAATAATGTGTATTATGTAAAACTTATCATGCAAATGAAATGTTAAAATACTCTTCAGATAATTCAAGAACTAAATAACGGCAACTGGCCAATCAAAACTTGGTACTGTATGAAGCGCACAGCTGAAGCAAGTTTTCAACATTTTTCACGCAAAATAATTAATGCACAACTTGAAGTTTTTTAAAAAGAAGACAACAGAAGGTATGACTTTTCCTTGATTAAAATTTTAAGACATTCCTCTGACAATGTTATTGTACTGTATGTGTGACTGTGAGGGACTGAGATGATATGAGAGCTGACATCATCAAGTACAGGTGCATCTCAATAAATTAGAATGTCGTGGAAAAGTTCATTTATTTCAGTAATTCAACTCAAATTGTGAAACTCGTGTATTAAATAAATTCAATGCACACAGACTGAAGTAGTTTAAGTCTTTGGTTCTTTTAATTGGGATGATTTTGGCTCACATTTAACAAAACCCCACCAATTCACTATCTCAACAAATTTGAATACTTCATAAGAAGAAGTGAATTTGAACATTTTTAGTGAATTGTTGGCCTTCTGGAAAGTATGTTCATTTACTGTACATGTACTCAATACTTGGTTGGGCCTCCTTTTGCATGAATTACTGCATCAGTGCGGCGTGGCATGGAGACAATCAGCCTGTGGCACTGCTGAGGTGGTATGGAAGCCCAGGTTGCTTTGATAGTGGCCTTCAGGTCATCTGCATTGATGGGTCTGGTGTCTCTCATCTTCCTCTTGACAATACCCCATAGATTCTCTATGGGGTTCAGGTCAGGCGAGTTTGCAGGCCAATCAAGCACAGTAACACCATAGTCATTGAACCAGCTTTTGGTGCTTTTGGCAGTGTGGGCAGGTGCCAAGTCCTGCTGGAAAATTAAATCAGCATCTCCATAAAGCTTGTCAGCAGAAGGAAGCATGAAGTGCTCTAAAATTTCCTGGTAGATGGCTGCGTTGACTGTGGACTTCAGAAAACACAGTGGACCAACACCAGAAGATGACGTGGCTGCCCAAATCATCACCGACTGTGGAAACTTCACACTGGACCACCTCAGCAGTGCCACAGGCTGATTGTCTCCATGCCACGCCGCACTGATGCAGTAATTCATGCAAAAGGAGGCCCAACCAAGTATTGAGTACATGTACAGTAAATGAACATACTTTCCAGAAGGCCAACAATTCACTAAAAATGTTCAAATTCACTTCTTCTTATGAAGTATTCAAATTTGTTGAGATAGTGAATTGGTGGGTTTTTGTGAAATGTGAGCCAAAATCATCCCAATTAAAAGAACCAAAGACTTAAATTCTATGCACACAGACTGAAGTAGTTTATTTAATACACGAGTTTCACAATTTGAGTTGAATTACTGAAATAAATGAACATTTCCACGACATTCTAATTTATTGAGATGCACCTGTATGTCACCAACTTTGCAACAAACAAACACACGTCTTGTTCAAAGTCCAAAAGCATTCACTGCACAATTAAGCCTATTAGAATGCAGTTATGGTGCCCTTATAATTCAAGCAATGAAAGAAAAAAATACCCATGTATGAGTTTTTGTTTTTATATTCATTGCACAAGCAATGTACTTTTCTGAATATCAGCACAAGTGCGCGAGCACACGTGCTATAATTTTTTTTGAACGAATCGAGTGAGCCACTGATTCAATGGTCCATTCAGATGGACTCACTTGTTTCGTTTCTAATTGAATAAAAAAAAATGTGAACGTTTTGAACAAATCATTTGATTTGAATGATTTTTATAAATAATTTATTAAAACAGGGACTTGCTGCCACCTACTGGTGGTTTTAATTGTCATTTTTATTTATCCATGACAGGCCTAAATCAGCCAAGGTGCCACAAAAAGACATTCAGCAAAATATTGTTAAATTATCAATATTGACAAAATTCCTCCATTTCAGGCCCCAGAAGAAGAAAAAAAGCTGATAAATAATAGTTAGTTTAATAAGGAAAATTAATTAGATTAAAAACCTTTTATAAATTAGACAAATTTTGTAATCATTGTGTAAAATTAGCTACAGGAATCCCCACCCCCCAAAAAAAGAAAGAAATTGACCACACCATCCCCTCTGAATAATTTTTTTCCATTCGACCACTGACGATACCCATCCCTACCTGTAAGTCAGTAGGAGAGAGATCGATCTCATTAGTTTTCACTTTTGCTGTGAGCAATTGACCGTTCGCAAAGACCTGCCCACCCTTAGTTACTGTTGCTAATGCCGACAAACAAAGCTGCTCTCCCACTACACATCATGTTCTCATGCAGTGAAAAACACATCACAGAGTGAAGAGGAAACTGATAACATGCCGACAGAGTAGGTTACTTCTGGTATGAAACAAGGTCTCAGGACTCTCTCAACTTTCAAATTTTGTCATTTTTGAAAGAAATTCAAACAATACCATTTTGTCTCTTGTTTAGCTCTTTACTGTGTCGTGACAGATCACTGCAGCGCCTCAGTTCAGTTCCCGATCAGGGCACCCATCCCTACCTGTAAGTCAGTAGGAGAGAGATCGATCTCATTAGTTTTCACTTTTGCTGTGAGCAATTGACCGTTCGCAAAGACCTGCCCACCCTTAGTTACTGTTGCTAATGCCGACAAACAAAGCTGCTCTCCCACTACACATCATGTTCTCATGCAGTGAAAAACACATCACAGAGTGAAGAGGAAACTGATAACATGCCGACAGACAAGACAGAGCAGGTTACTTCTGGTATGAAACAAGGTCTCAGGACTCTGTCACCTTTCAAAATTTTTCATTTTTTAAGAAATTCAAACAATACCGTTTTGTGGCTCTTTACTGTGTCGTGACAGATCACTGTAGCGCCTCAGTTCAGTTCCCGATCAGGGCGAAGTTCACAGGATTTTGTCCACAGAATGATAAGAGTACACATTATTTTAACATATTATTTCACATTTTTATTTTAACTTAAGCACTGCAAGCCATGCATACAGCGTTAGACATGGACAGATTTTCTGGTATGCAAAACAAGTACTTTAAAGGGGTCCTATTATGCTTTTTCACTTGGAATCCCCACCCCCCAAAAAAAGAAAGAAATTGACCACACCATCCCCTCTGAATAATTTTTTTCCATTCGACCACTGACGATACCCATCCCTACCTGTAAGTCAGTAGGAGAGAGATCGATCTCATTAGTTTTCACTTTTGCTGTGAGCAATTGACCGTTCGCAAAGACCTGCCCACCCTTAGTTACTGTTGCTAATGCCGACAAACAAAGCTGCTCTCCCACTACACATCATGTTCTCATGCAGTGAAAAACACATCACAGAGTGAAGAGGAAACTGATAACATGCCGACAGAGTAGGTTACTTCTGGTATGAAACAAGGTCTCAGGACTCTCTCAACTTTCAAATTTTGTCATTTTTGAAAGAAATTCAAACAATACCATTTTGTCTCTTGTTTAGCTCTTTACTGTGTCGTGACAGATCACTGCAGCGCCTCAGTTCAGTTCCCGATCAGGGCGAAGTTCACAGGATTTTGTCCACAGAATGATAAGAGTACACATTATTTTAACATATTATTTCACATTTTTATTTTAACTTAAGCACTGCAAGCCATGCATACAGCGTTAGACATGGACAGATTTTCTGGTATGCAAAACAAGTACTTTAAAGGGGTCCTATTATGCTTTTTCACTTTTTTAATTTTAGTCAGTGTGTAGTGTGTATGTTTGGGTATAAAAAGTATCTAGAAAGTTACAAATCTCGAAAGTCCACTCCAAAGGGAGATATTTTGTTTTTAAAAAAATCCCTTTTCAAGAACTACAACGAACGGCTCGTTTGGACTACAACGTTGGTTTCCGGGCTTTGTGATATCACAAAGCAGCTCATTGAAATTTAATTTAAATAATTCCCGCCTACAGAAATGCGATTGGCTGGGGGGTGGGGAGGGGCGAGGTTGTGATTAGAATACTTGGTTGAGTGAGTGCATCAGACGAGACGATGAAGAAGTGCTGCTGCAGAGTTAGTGCATCAGAGAAAATGAAAAAGAAGCGCTGCTGTGCTGTAGCGTAAAATTTTCGGCAGGTCTAGAACAATTCTTACAAGTACAACACGATGTAGCTGGGTGACGCGGACAGACGCCGAACGGTGCCGCTGGTTACCTACACTCATAGAAAATAATGTTTTCGAATTTTAAAGACGTGGCGCGACACGACGCTGCGCTTCTCATCTGGTGTGCGACCACCTGAAATGCTGTTTTTTTCACCTCCGTGCCCAAACATCTTTGTTTGGGCTTCCTAAAGCAGATGATGTCAGGAAACAGTGGTTGCAATTTATTTTTAAACTCTGTTCCTGAGCATTATAATCCCAATTTGCTATATTGTGTGCTGCGCATTTTACTGAGGACAGCTTCCACAACATGAGGGAGTACAGTGCCGGATTCGCCAAAAAGCTTTTGTTGAAAGACGGCGCAAGAGGCGTGTACTGAGTACTGAGACACCGTCTAAGCTTTTCGCCAGTCACAACGCACTGGGACAGCTAGCCAATCACAACACATTTTGTTTTTCGGAAGGCGGACCTTCATCAAAGCCGGAACTAATCGAGCCGTTTGTGCCAGGCTGGGGAGAAAGGTATTTTAATCATGTAAATTATGTGAAAAAATTATGCGTTTTTCAAACCCCCAAGCATGAGAGCATGTTCTAGTACACCCCCAAAACAAAATCAAGACTTTGTAAAAGAGCATAATAGGACCCCTTTAAAGGAATTCCTTAGCGTATTGCTGTTACTGTGGCAGCCAACAACAGCACAGTTTAACCCTCCAGGCACGTTTTTATATTTAGTTATATTGAAAAAGTTTCAATTCAGTCGATGTTTTTTTACCCTGTTTTAACATGGATTTCTATGGAGATCGGATGTAGCTGTTGGACAAGAGGGCGGATAGCAGCGATATAATATATCCACATTCTGATTGGTCAGACCCCCTGTCTATCATGCTCCCTGTGAATGGTAAATTGTGTAGTTGATCAAACAAACCAACATATTTAAAGGGTTAGTTCACCCAAAAATGAAAATTAGACTGTGTTTTACTTACCCTCGAAGCATCTTAGGTGTATATGACTTTCGTCTTTCAGACGAATCCAGGCGGAGTTATATAAAACAATTGTCCTGGCTATTCCAAGCTCTATCATTGCAGTCAGCGGGTGTTGCAGTTGAACAGTCCACAAGTCGTCAAATAAAGCGAGTGCATTCATAATAAAACGTGCTTCCCACGGCTCCGGGGGGTGAATAAAAGCCTCCTGTAGTGAATGCATGCGATTTTTTTAAAGAAAAATATCTATATTTCAAACGTAATAAACACTTTTCTCTCACTTCCGGCAGTGCTTGAAGTGGCCGGTATGCAGGCACTTCTATATTTTAGCCTTTAAAGTAACTGCACTTTTTTGTGTGTGCCGGCACTTCTGACATGTTGATGACATGATTTGAAATGACACTATATAAATCACACTACCCAGGCAGGATAACCTCTCATCTCGACCAATCACGTGAATGAATGCAAGCGGAGTGTGTGGGGTGCGAGAGCATGTCAGGGGAAGCACAGAGCAGTAGAATAATAATTAATTATTGATTACTAATTTGAATCAGTACTTTATAACAAAAATAATATCTTAAAAATGAAAAGAAGCAGGCTTTTGCAATCACATAATTTTAAACCGGTAAACTCCTGGACAGTCCAAGGATCCAGTAAATTAATTCAAACAGTAAGCTCAAAACAGAGCTAATGCAGAGAAAACACGGCCAATTTCATCAGCGATTGCGGAGAGAATAGTGAACCTCTTACCTCCAGATATCAGTAAAATTATTCCTTTCAGTGTGTATTTGGCTTAAAAGCAAGAGTGTGAACGCTGATTATCCGATGGTCAGAGATTTAGCGATTCTGAATGGATCCATATAGTAGTAAGGGCAGGCGATTTAGTGGTCTTTGGCTTCTCACTGTGGTCATGTTTGGAATCGCAGCTTGAATGAATGAATGAATGAATTACGCATTTTTATAGCGCTTTGTGTATTGTTGTACACCCAAAGTGCTTTACAATCATGTGGGGGGTCTCTCCTCAACCACCACTAGTGTGCAGCATCCACTTGGATGATGCGACGGCAGCCACAGGACAACGGCACCAGAGTGCACACCACACACCAGCTACAGGTGGAGAGGAGAGAGCGATAGAGCCAATTCAGTGAATGGGGATTATTAGGAGGCCATTAAAGACAAAGGCCAGGGGGGCAATTTGGCCAGGACACCAGGGTTACACCCCTACTCTTTACGAGAAGTGCCATGGGATTTTTAATAACCACAGAGTCAGGACCTCGGTTTAACATCTCATCTGAAAGACAGTGCTTTTTTTTTGAGAGTATAGTGTACCTGTCACTATACTGGGATGTTAGGACCCACACAGACCACAGGGTGAGCACCCCCTGCTGGCCTCACAAACACCTCTTCCAGCAGCAACCTAGTTTTCCCAGGTGGTCTCCCATCCAGTTACTGACCAGGCTCAACCCTGCTTAGCTTCAGTGGGCTTCAGAAGCTTGACTTGTGCTAATTTGTATTGAAAACTTTTATTTAATTATTAATTGATTGATTGTGGCACTATACATACATTGTGAATTATAAAAAAGTACTTATTTAATATAAACAAATAAATAAGGGTGAGTACCGGCACTTATTTTCCACTTCAAGCACTGATTTCCGTTATTTGTCATACGTGGAAGCCGTTCCGACGGATGACGCAGCACGTATGCACACCGCGCGTGCCTCTGAGATATGCGAGTCTCAGGAGTTTGTTTATAGGAGCAAAGGAAGCAAAGTTTCCTTACTGTAGCAAAGGAAAAACAGTCTTTTCTTGGTTTATATCGAAATCCTCCAACATCAGGAACACAGTAAACAAAGAGGCAGCTAGAGAAGACCACTGGAACAGTTTCGGACAGCTACTGGCAGATTACAATAGCAGCAGAAGGAGCGGCACGACCAGGCAGATAGAGAGGGCCAAGCAAGGCACCATAGAGCTGAGCTCAGATACTTGTTGAACGCCGACTCTGAAGCGGACCAAGTAATAGGCGGGGTGAACCAGTGGCAGGACTCACAGGCACAGGTCAGGACGGGAACGCTAACACAAAGAGACAAGACAGGACAAAGATCAACAGGAACACACTTATTTCAAAACAGGCAGGGGGATAAATAAAACAAAGAACTGATTAAAAAAAAGTAACAAAATAAGAAATAATTACCAATCTAACCAACACAACTAACAAAGAATATCAAAAATGCAAAACAAAACATCAGGACTAGAAGAACTGGATAAATAATAAAAAAGTGACAAAAGGCAAAACAAGGAGCAAAACAAGAACAAGGAACTACAAAGGACTAGACAAGACAAGGACACAAGACCAACCAGGCAGGGAGACAAGAACACACACACTCAGCCACATCCACAGACAGAAACAAAAACAGTGATAGAAGGGGTGAAAATGACCACAAACTGGCAAAAACAAGAGGGCAGGGGGAACTATAAATAGGGAGGAAAGCACAAGAGGAACAGGTGAGAGCAATTACACTAACAAGGACTCAACAAGGGCTAACAAGAGGGTATGGTAAAGAGGAAACCAGGAGGAGGGGCTAGAAAAGCACATGGCTGAGAAAAACAATCAACAAGGCCATGTGCTGACACAAGACAACATAGACACAAGAAACAAATACAAGATTAACAGAGTGTTAGGGCAAAACCCTGACAACGCCGACGTACTACGTCATCCACCGGAACGGCTTCTGCGTATGACAGATACGGGAAGTGAGAATAAAGTGTTTATTACGTTTGAAATATGGATATTTTTGTTACAAAAACACATGGATTTGCTACAGGAGGCATTTATTCACCCCCCGGAGTCATCTGTGGCACGTTTTATTATGGATGCGCATGCTTTATTTGACGACTTGTGGACTGTTTAACTGCAACACTGCAATGATAGAGCTTGGAATAGCCACGACAGTTTTTAATATAACTCCGACTGGATTCATCTGAAAGAAGAAAGTCATATACACCTAGGATGCCTCGAGGGTGAGTAAAAAACACAAGCTAATTTTCATTTTTGGGTGAATTAACCCTTTAATAGTTCTCCCTATAGGAACATGGGTCTTGTCTCTATAATATTTTTAAAAGAATAATTTAAAGATTTTTTTAACACAATTGTCTACTTTCCACTGCTTGGCTCAAAACTGCAACTTTGCATTTTGCAAAATAAAAATTCTGCCGGTGTGACCACCACGTTACCCAACTCATAAGAGCGGCCATTTCTGTTGCATATGAGAAACATCAAACGGCAAATAAAACAAAAGCGTAACAGAACCGCGCTGCTCATTTGGGCTGCACAGCACGGACCAATAATTGAGTGCAACGCAAGCAAACTGGTCCAAGTTCAGAACAGGTTTATTCAAGAACCAATGTTGATCTTGCGACACGGTTACTGCACAGCGCTGCGAGATCCAGTGAGAAGAGTTTGAACTCACTGCAGAATAAATAAGGTTGCTGCGAGATCTAGTGAGAAGTTTTCAAATTCAGCACAGAGTTCTGCTATGAACAGATCAAACAGTCCTGACACAGAAACCCAGAAGCAGTAATGCTAACTATAACCATGGTGTTGTGGCAGAAATTGTCCAATGTTATTAAAACATTAATTTCAGGGTTTGTACAACCTTTCGAGAGAGAAATTTAAGCACTTTTTAACAACTTAAGTATTTCACATAAAAAAAATCTTAATGGGACAAAACACAATGTATATCAAAATATAGTTTTGTGGTAAACAAACGCTTATGCAAAAGAAATACAAAATACACAAAATTACCACTATAACAAGTAGATGGCAGCGGAGGAGCACTTTTTCGCTTATTAGTCATTAATTTCTGTTTTGCTTTATATATTAAAAATTCTAAAATTGTATTCTAATAATGATACATTTAGTAAGAGTAGAATATATAAATTTTTCTATATGAAAATTTCATAATCGGGACATTGCCTAAGAATTGTCGGAAGGTGAAAAATCGGCCCCAAATCAGCCTGATTATCTTGTGGTGTGTACCCAGCATTAGACTGGAGCCCTGCACTGTTACATCAGGGTTCACTTTTATTTTCACATTTCTCAGCTTTTTACAAGATACTGAAAATGAACCATTTTTTACTTTTATTTCAGTTGACTGAAGAAAACGAGGAGAATAAAGAATCAAGTGAAGTTGAGGAGAAAAATCATGTCAAACCTGGAGAAAAACTTTAGAGTTGCTCTCAAACCAATCGAGAAGGAGAATAAGACGGATTTAAAGAAAAGAAGAGCTAAGAAATCTTTCACCTGCACTCAGTGTGGAAAGAGTTTGACAAGCAAAACAAGTCTTGAGCATAATATGAGAGTTCACACTGGAGAGAAACTGTTCACTTGTGATCAGTGCGGGAAGAGTTTCACACAATCATCACACCTTAAGAAACACATGAACATCCACACTGGAGAGAAGCTGTACACATGTGATCAATGCGGCAAAACATTTTTGTGTGCTTCAGACCTGAAGACACACCTGAGAGTTCATACAAAGGAGAAGCCACATTCATGTCATTTGTGTGGAAAGAGTTTTTTACATTTACAAAGTTTATAGGAATAGTTCACCCAAAAATGACAAATGTGTCATCATTTACTCACCCTCATGTTGTTCCAAACCTGTATGATTTTCTTTCTTATGTTGGACACAAAAAAATATATTTTGAAGAAATTTTAAAAAACCAAACAGTTGTTGATCCCCATTGACTTCCATAGTAGAAAAATAAATACTATGGAAGTCAATAGGAACCACCTACTGTTTGATTGCCAGCATTCTTCAAAATATCTTCTTTTATGTTCAAAATAAGATAGCGACTCATACAGGTTTGGAACAACATGAGGGTAAGTAAATGATGACAAAATTTTTGGGTGAACTATCCCTTTAAAACAGGGGTGCCCAAACTCTGTCGTGGAGGGCCGGTGTGCTGCAGAGTTTAGCTCCAACTTGCCTCAACACACCTGCCTTTAAGTTTCTAGTATGCCTAGTAAGCTTTAAAAGGACATAAGACAATACATACTGGTGTGAAAGAGTACATGTGCTTTGAGTGTGAAAAGACTTTTACTTCAGCGAGCATTTTAAAACTGCATGAGAGGATTCACTCTGGAGAAAAACCTTATAAGTGTTCACACTGTGACAAGAGATTCAATCAGTCAGCAAATCTGAAAACACATGAGAGGATTCACACTGGAGAGAAACCGTATCACTGCACTGCATGTGGGAAGTGTTTCAGTCATTCATCTTCTCTACACAGACATACAAAAAACTATCACAGTAAGTAGATCATCTTCAAATCAGCACTTTCAGGTCTGACACTGCGTCCTCAACAAATGTAACACAATAACGCATCAAGCAATAAAATATAATCTGGATAAATCTGTTCTAACCAGACATTACAAGTGACATGACAAAGAAACATTATCTAAAGTTTTCACAGTGAATAAAGTTCATCTTCAAAAGCAGCAGATTCAACTGTGAGATTCAGATCAACTCAAAGATTGAGTTCCTCCTCAAAGAACAATATCTTACATACAATATTCTTGTATATAATTTTGCTTTATGATATAAATTATATCATTGTGCTTTCTTATGCGTTTTATATTATGTTCAGTTGTCTTATAATGCATATGTGTCAGCTGTAGTGATGGCGAAGTGAAGCGATCTGAACCAGTGAAGCTTTCAACACAATTGTATTGGAAAAAGGTTCATTATTTGAAGCGTTTTAAAACGGTTTATTCTGCGGCCATCTAGTAGTCATAAAAATAAATATCACCTTCCAAAGTGTTATGTTCCATTACAGCCAGTGGTTTCACATCTGGTTCTACTACAGATTTTTTTTTGTTTTATTATATTTTATATAAATAATGTTTATTGTCAAAGTCATTCATTTATGTCGGTGTACTGGCACTAAAATAAATAAAACACAGTCATACATTAATTCTATGATCTGTTTATTTTAACTCTGGCCATGAAATAACAGTCTAAGGACTGAGGCAAAGTTCATTTTTGTGCACAATATATAAATTATGCTTTTAAAAAAACCAATGCTAACACATTATAATGCAATATAATTTAAAGGAAACGGCGCTGAGATTTACTTCGTTTGAACCCTATACTGAAGCAGTCACGTGGTTTTCAGGCGAATGAAGCTTCGCACATCATAGATCACATGCTTTTCTCAAAACGGATCAAGCTCCGGTACCATAGGCTTGTTTGAGATGCGCCTCGCCTCACCTGAAATGTAGGCGAGAGTAGGAGGCTGCAGTGAGGGTAGGGGTGAAATAAGCGCAGTTAAGACGGACAGTTCTGCCCTCTCGAAGTGTAACAGATACCAACGAGATCAAAGGCAGATATCGCGTTATTCACACTTACATGCTGTGTTGCTAATAAACATATGATTTCAGTTCTGTTGCTTTTATATGAAAATAAATATTATCAACAAGACACTCAAAGTGCTTGCTATTTAATTCCATACGAAAGGTGTATTTATCATCCATTTGTACGTTAATACAAACATGTATTTTTATAGAAATGTGACAACAACTGTCACAGTGTCTGGTTGTGGTGCCCTGGACTGGCCACTTCAGAATCAGAATCAGAATGAGCTTTATTGCCCAAACCTGCAGTAGAACTCGTTCAGATCGTCTGCCAGGTGTTGATTCTGCACAGTGCTGGGGGATGGTGTCATCCATTTTTGTCATCCATTTGGTGTTTTCCACTTGCGGGCGCTCTCCCGTTTCTGTGTTACGTGTGTTGAACTCCATTTCCCATAGTCTCTTGCCTGTCGTTTCTGTTCTGATCATGATCACCTGTTAGTCATTGTCCGAAAACCAGTCAGTATCTGGTGTGACTATGTCACAGTGCCTGGTTGTGGTGCCCTGGACTGGCCACTTGAGGGCGCTCTCCCGTTTCTGTGTTACATGTGTTGAACTCCATTTCCCATAGTCCCTTGCCTGTCGTTCTGTTCTGATCATGATCACCTGTTAGTCATTTACTCATCATCCCATCACTACATATATCATGCTCACGCTGTCTATCTTTGCTGCAGTATTATTTGATTCTGATGTTTGTGTTTACATCGTGTTTTCTGGTCCCTGTGTTGTGGATTACCTTTTGCCACGTTTTTGTTCTGTTCTGTTCATCCATTTTTGTCATCCATTTGGTGTTTTCCACTTGCGGGCGCTCTCCCGTTTCTGTGTTACGTGTGTTGAACTCCATTTCCCATAGTCTCTTGCCTGTCGTTTCTGTTCTGATCATGATCACCTGTTAGTAATTTACTCATCATCCCATCACTATTTATACTATGCTCACTTTGTCTGTCTTTGCTGCCGTATTGTTTGAGGTTACATCGTGTTTTCTGTTCCCTGTGTTTTGGATTACCTTTTGCCACGTTTTTGTTCTGTTCTGTTTATTTGTTCTTTAATAAACTGCACTTGGATCTAACCCTGTTTTCTCCTGGCATTCCGTGACAATAACATTTTCTCACACAGAGATCGCACTGTCATAGTGTTTGGGAACATTCATGCATAATTTAAATACATAATCACATGGAACCATATAAAAAAAATAAAATATTTTAGAAGAGAACCGCAGCATCACAGGTGTCTGAACCAATGAGCATTAAGCCGTGTGTCAGTCAGTCGTTTCCCATCATGCTTTTGATCAGCGCAGTAGTGATGGAAAGTTCGGATCATTTTACCGACTCTGACCTTTGAGTCTTGTTCAGCAAAATGAACGAATCTTTTTTCGAGTCATTTTGTTAATTTTAGCTAAATATAATTAAAATGTTACATGTTACTTCCCTAACACGTCTACTATTTACGCAAACGTTGATCACACTACAAACAATACAAAACTGCTATAAGAAACATAAAAGATTAATTCATTGTTTACCTGGGTCTTCAGACTATGATTAGCTCACCTCAGCTCTTATCTGACAAGCCTTCGGGTTTGAGTGGTTCGTTCATCACGTGACAGCCCCATAAACTTAACCAATGCAGTCTGAGCCGTAAAGAGAATTGATTATTTCATCTCTCGAGTCTTCGGGTTTTTCCGAGTCATTCGTTCATCACGTGACAGCCCCATAAACTTAACCAATGCAGTCTGAGCCGTAAAGAGAATTGATTATTTCATCTCTCGAGTCTTTCGAATCATTCGTTCTTTTGTCACGTGACGTGACCGCATTGGATAGAGAATTCGTTAATTTACAAGCTTCCTTGCAAACGGGTGCATAATTATTATTATCATCATTATTATAATTATTATTTACTCTTACAATTACGTGATGCGTTTCTGGTCTCAAATTGTTGCTTTTTACTTCTTACAGTTTATAAATGTGTGAATTTATGTCATTATGGTTCTTTTCCATAACACTGAATGTTGTAACAAAGGTAATAAAGGGTTGGTTATTATTATTAAGTCTATTTCCGGCTCAGACTTCATTGGTTAAACTTATGGGGCTGTCACGTGATGAACGAATGACTCGGAAAAACCCGAAGACTCGAACCAGGTGAACTACTTGACTAATTCCAGTACAGAACCTATATGATGTTGCGCATGCGCGACTGAACGAATCACTCCCCAAGACGACTCGTTCTTCCCGAGTCACATTAAAGATTTGTTCAAAATGAACGAATCGTTCAAGAACGACCCAACACTACCGAAGACTCGAGAGATGATCTAATCAATTCTCTTTCCGGCTCATACTGCATTGGTTAAAGCTTATGGGGCTGTCACATGATGAACGAACGACTCAGAAAAACCCGGCGACTCGAGAGATGAACTAATCAATTCTCTTTCTGGCTCAGACTGCATTGGTTAATGCTTATGGGGCTGTCACATGATGAACGAACGACTCGGAAAAACCCGAAGACTCGAACCAGGTGAACTACTTGACTAATTCCAGTACAGAACCTATAGACCTTTTCATGGAACGCGAAATTACCCATTATGCTTTGCACGTACGCGTATGGAGGATGCTTCGAACTTCCGGTTGCAGCTTGATGCGTGCTCACTATATTATGAAATATCTGATATTCCGATTCTGAAATATGTGCAATTAAATCTGTTTGGTAGTTTAAACACTTTTATATCGACCGTGTTAGTTTATCTATACCGGGTGATGGGTGCCGCCATGTTAGTTCGCGCTGAATCCGAGCTGTGGGATTTACAACACGCAAATTCATCCTCTCCTACCGAAAAACGTTAAAGTAAAGTAGGGCTCCGGTAAACTGGGAGAAGAGCAGAGTTTTGATAAACTTTATAGTTACCTACACAATCTGTATATCAATAAAAACATTTTGTCAGATTATATTTGCTTTAGTACCAAATAAAAATGACTTTAACACAGAGTTATCACGAAAGCTGTCACGAAAACAAATTCCTCCTATGTGTAAACATACCTGGCAATAAAGCTCATTCTGATTCGGATTCCGATTATGGCTCTAAATTTGGGTCTCATGGCTTCTTGTAAAACTGGAGGGGATATAAAGCAATATCATCTTTAGTTATTTTCTTCACCACAAAATCTGATGTTAGACACTGCAAAATGCAATATCAATTTCAATATCAAGTAAACAGCTTTTCAGAAACATCTTCAAAATATCTTATTTACCGTTCATTCAACTGTTTAAGTTTCAGATATTTAGATGGACACATAAACCAAGGATGTTGTTTTTCCATGCTAAACTTTTAGTTCGTTTTTTTTCATAAGGCTACATCTTATCATTATGACGTGTTTTCATTTATCTTAATTTCCATATTTACATGCTGCAACTTTGTGTGGATTTCAATGAAATATTTGACTAATAAATTCGCTCGTTTTTCTCCTCTGATCCTCACACACAAAGACTGTTGATGCTGATCAAATACCACGCGAGTCTATAAATTAAATGTCTTTTAATTTATTTGTGCAGATCGGCTTTTTGTACGGAAAACAAATCAGCTCACCTTTTAGACGCTCTACGTAAATATTCCCCGTATTATTTCCCTCCTCTCGCTTCACACTCCAGTCCAGCGGGTGGCGGTAAACACATGCGTTTGTTTGCCAAACACCATTAACCCTCAGAGGAAGAAGTTTAGTTCACGCGCTCTCTGTTTTGTTTTATTGTGGTGCCGTTTAATACAATATGTTAGAGATGTTGTGTCTGTAAGTAGAAAAATACAGTTTTTGAAACTGTTCAATTAATATTCCCATCTGTTCAATTAATATTCCCAGTCGTGACTAAGTTTTGAAGCAAGCAGGAATATCTGGAGGAGTATCATCTGAACTGAGATCTGGTGCTGTGAAGATGCTGTTTGTTAAAGAGGAGAGTGAGGAGGACAAGAGTGAACCAGAACCCTGGAGAATAAAACACGAGGAACCAGAAACCCGGAGAATAAAACACGAGGAACCAGAAACCCGGAGAATTGAACAAGGAGGTCTTTATTCTTCATTCATCTTTAATGACTGTTTGTGGCACATAGGCTTACAAAGTTTTAACCCTCTGGGGTCTGACTTTCTTCGCATACTTCTGAGGTAAATTCTGGGGCGGTTTCACAGACAGGGTTTAAATTAAGCCAGAAGTAGGCTTAATCTAGGATAGTTAATCAAGGTTTTAAAAATGACTTTCTGAAACACGTACAGATTACTAACTCATGTACTATGGAGTCCTGGGCCAAAATAAACTAGGTTCATTTAAAACCAACTGTGCTAATCTGAATTAGCATGACAGGTTGGTATAAATCATGGAATAAACAAAGAAAAGCTTAAAATTAAATGGAACTAAGAAGCAAATAAAAAGCAAACAAACAATAGCAGTGGGAAAAAAACTACAAAAAATGTTACTGAAGAGGATACATTTTTTTTAAAGCAATCGAAGTAAACTGCACACATGGTGTCAAAATAATAATAATAATAATTAAAAAATTTTTTATTTGTAATACACCTTTCTTACACAAGGTGCTACAACAGTATAAAAGAAACATTACTCCATAATAATCACAAAAACAACAATGGCAACAACTGTAAGATTATAATTTAAAAGCTTCACTTAGGGATGCAGCGATTAACCGGGTTCGCGATTAACGTCACTGTTAATTAATCGTAAAGGTTCCGCTAAACCGAGTGTTTCTGTTACACAGAACGGAACTGTTGCAGCTTGCGCAAAACGAAAAAAGTTACACTAGCGGTGCACCAGCTTAAAATGACGTGCTTATCAGAGGCACGGAGGCTACTACATGCATTAGATGAACTGTGACCGAGGAACCAAACAGCGAAGCTTTATTTCACCAGAGAAATAATTGTCGATAGTGTGGGACCATTTTGGGTACACCAAGAATGACCAGGGTGTCATTTAAATATTGCTGTAAAAAAACTGCTGCTAAAGAGCGAATGCATAAGGAATAATGCACAGCTTGCTGTACATTGAACGATTTTAATGCACGGCGTGAAGACAAGAACCACCTGACGCGAAGCTACAGCTGGTTAGCTCCGCATTCTACCCGCTTCAGATCAGAAAGAGATGAAATAGTGCGGTAAGATCACATTTATTTGAATTAATTAATTATAACATTTAGCTACTTTAATTAATTATGAGAGAGAGAGAGAGAGAGAGAGAGAGAGAGGTGACAGTTGCCTGTGTGGATTAGCCTACCTGCGTCTGTGCGTCTCTCCAGTAGGCTATTTAATCTATTTTATTAATAAAAGTCACGGGGCAGCATTCTCAAGAAGTTTGTGTCCTCCTGAATGTTTGTACACGTGCGCAGCGTGATCTCCGATCTCACAAACCAAAATAATAGGCATGATTTTCTCAGGCCACATGTAAAATCATATGAATTATTATAAAGATTATAAAAATGAAGAGGCTACGTATGGATGACAGTTGATTACAATATTTCAGTTTATTTCCATCATTAGTAACAGTTTCCCCTGTGGGACAAATACAGTTAGTCGTATATGAATAATAGGCTACTTCATTAACTTTATTTACTATCCCTGTTGTAGTATTATTCATAAGTAAAAACCAACAATATTTTTTTTCACGTTTCCAAAGTCTCTACCCCATGTCCAAAAGAAATGTAAAGAATGTACAAACTGAAAACATTAAATATTTTGCGATCTATTTTCATTTGCTATTTTCAAAAGAGAAATACTGTCATGGATGTTTACAGAGCAGAGGTCACCTTTTTTAATTTCAATGGGAGAGATGGACTTTTGTTTGTCTTTTTTATTATAATTTTGTGCTGTATTGTTGGTTACTGTGTTATTTCTGTTTCAAAAGCCAGCAATAAATAACACTTTAATATCTAAAGAGTGTTCATGTGATTTTATATAGTAATGTTGGGAAATGAATAAATGCATAATAATCGTCATAATCGTAAAACCGTGATTATTCCTCAGACAATAATCGTACCAACAAAATCTATAATCGTTGCATCCCTAGCTTCACTAAAGAGAGATGTTTTGAGTAATTTCTAAAAACAGAATTAGGCTACCTATTGCCCGCGTGCGAGCAGCTCCGTTTCATCTCTGGAGATGTGTTGTTCTGTCTTTGCGCTTTCAAGTTCCGCCGTGTAAATAGCCAATGAGTCATGGCGCGAGCACAACTTAAAGGGAATGGGAGATGAGACTCTGATTGGTTTATTGCACGTTATGCTAAAACACACCCATGACTCATTAAGATAATAGGGACAACACTTTTAGACCATGCGCCAGGCACGCCGACCGTTTTTCCCGTCGTGAAACTAGCAAACGTGGATTCGGACATGCCCTAGGTGCACCTGCGCCTTGCACTTTAGACCATGTGCTTAGATCGTCGAATATGAAAAGTGCTCGGAGTTGTGGCAGAAAACAGAAAAAAAGAGTGAGCAACAACAAAAACATATTGCTGTGGACAGACTCATTCTCTGCCAGCAGGAGGAGCTTTAGAGCAAAGACTAGACTGTGCACTCCTAATACTTATGAATGGGAGAAAGTGCAATGCCCAATATGGCGAATAAGCCCCGCCTACTAAATGAAAGAGCCAATCGTTGATTAGTAAAGTCATTGTCACTGCACAGCTGCCTTTAGAAGCTCCGGTTCCTATAAAAACAGGCAGCATTCGCGAACTCGCGCTCATGACTTCGCATGTGCTTTGGCTGCTCTAGCCTGAAAAATAAGCCCTTTTTATTGCTATTTGAGCATAAGAAACAATTATGAGGCAGTTGTTGTAAGATTTTCATTGGTGATTTCAAATATTAAATTTAATTGTAAGCTTGGTGAACAGTTTTGGAGAATTTGATGTTTCCTCATTCAAAGAGATAGGAGCTGCACTTGCATTCCCGGGAGGCGTTTTAAAGATGGCTGCCGAGTGAAAATATTACACAAAATATGTAATTTTTTGCTACTAGAGGGCGCGTATTCAAAACAAACAGAGACAAAGGCGTAGTTTGATGACGTTGTGACTGAGTGTGGAATCATGGGAGTTGTGGTCTTCATCCCCACAGCCGATGCAATCCGACGTAACTCTGGCAGAAATCATGTTCATGGATGAGGTACTGATTTATTAACGAAGTAGAATGAAGCAGGGTGAGGCTGAAAGTCGTCGAAGCGAAACGAGGCCACTGAACGAGCGTGACACACGGCTCGAAAGCAGCGGAGCTTTTATTATGCCACAGTCGACCGCTTCCGCTTCTTCCAATCGTATGTGGGGTAAAGCAGCGCTGTTTTATCATACTAGATACATTTCAAAGTTCTGTTATAATGCTACTCTGTGCGGTCGTCACCGGTCTAATAAACACATAACATATTAAACGTCTTTGGTGTTTCCATGTTTTCTACAAAACAAAACAACGGAACGGAACAAACGGAAATCGAGGGGTTCTGACGTCATTGGCAGGCGACACAATGACACTATAGACACGTCCGTGTCACTAGTTAAAATTGCTTATTTCTATGGATTTAAACATTCTTTGGAACATTTGGGATAAGACACAAGTACTAGACTTGTGCCAGTATTCGGTAATGCGATATATCACGGTAATGAATATGCACAATGTTGTTATCGTGGGCACTTCTAAATACCGTGAATAACTATATATTACAAATTATTCAGAATTTTGAATGCATTTTAAGAATACTTTTCCCATTAACTGGTCAAAATGCACAACACCGCTCTATGCTGCGTGAAAGACGCGTGCGCACTCTGACGTAAACAAGCGTGGACAAGAAGCACATGGCGGAACATGTGAGAGACGCTCTGGATGAAAGCACACTTTCACTCTCTGAGAGCAGATGGCGCTAAACTGTTTATAGTATATATAATAGAAAGTTTCTATTTATTTTCAAACTTTTTTACATTTTAATCTGGACTACAACATGTCCTAGATATTGTTTGAAAGTGTTTTGATTATTTATTGTTCGGTCACACTTTACATTAGGGCTTCATTAGTTAATTCATTAGTTAACAAACTGCCAATGAAAAATTCTTCTGAACATTCATTAATCTTAGGTATTGCAATATTTAATAACAGGTTGTTAAATTGAAAGTTGCAACTGTGTTATTTAATGAGCTAACATTAACTAAGACTTGTATTTTTAAAACAAAGATTAATAACTTCTGCAGCAAATGTAGCCATTGCTCATTGTGAATGTTAATGTAAGGTTAACTAATGAGGTCTTATTGTAAAGTGATACCTATTGGTCTTTATAGTTCTTTTGCACTTTAATCTGTGTAAAACGTTTAACTTTATACATTTTTCTGTATTGCTTTATTGCATTTAAATGTTCAGTTATTTTAGTTATAAGAAAAAAGTTATTAAACCTTTTATACTGTATTATGACAGCACTTTTTTTTAAAACTAAATTTCAACATCGTGATAATACCGCATACCGTGATAAAAGCATTAGCAATTAATCACAACATGAAAATTTGATACCGGCATATACACAAGTCAGCAAAATATATAACACTGTTCTAGTGGTTTTTGGATATTTTAATAAAAAAAAAAGTCTTACATATTGTGCCTTTAAAGGGACGTAAACTGTTTTTCAATACCAAGTACGCAAAGTTCAGACTTGCATGCTTGGTAGTTTGGACTTTGCAAGTTCGACTTGGGAGTGTTAACTCTTGGGGACGGGAGGACAGAAGTCCAGTAATTCTGCAAATTATGCATCTTCACTGTATAAATAATAATATGAAATATTACATATAGCACAACTCTACTTTTTTTTGTTAAATAGCCTATCAGTTCTAATGAACAATAATAGCCAAAAGTATAAGTATGAAGTATAAGAGACTTGTGTAATAGGAAATAAAGACAAAAGCAAACAATTCAGTCAAACGTTTGCTACAAAGTCAGTGCTGTACTACGATTAAATTAAATTAATATATATGCATATATAGATTCAGCCTTGATAAAAGGGGCAGAGCAAGAACACATCCGCTGCCGTTTTAGATTTAGTTTGCTGTAACAGAAACAATCTTTAGAGCGGTTGAATAATATAGATGGAGCTGCAAATAATAAGGGACACTTTTTTCAACAAAATGTATGTTAGATAATTGTGTAGTTGATCAAACATATTTAATAGTTCTCCTTATAGAAACATGTGATTTGTGTCTATAATATTTTAAACATTATATTTTGAAGATCAATGTACCTTGTATCAAGGTATCAAGGTACAATTTATACAATTGCATCAAAAGGAACAACATTTTGAATAGAAATTGTCTGTTACACCAGGGTTGACTTATGTACTTTCACATTTCTGTTTGGTTGTTTTTCAAGTTACTGAAAAATGAACTGTTTTTGCTTTTATTTTAGAGTTTATTGAAGAAATTGATGAGAACGAAGAATTGAGTGAAGATGAAGAGAAACATCATGTCAAAACTGGAGAAAAACCTTTGCGTTGCTCTCAAACCAAACATAAAGATTTGAAGAAAAGAGGAGCCAAAATATCTTTCACCTGCACTCAGTGTGGAAAGAGTTTGACAAGAAAAAATAGTCTTGATGTTCACATGAGAGTTCACACTGGAGAGAAACCATTTACTTGTGATCAGTGTGGGAAGAGTTTCACACGATCATTAAGCCTAAAGAAACACATGAACATCCACACTGGAGAGAAACCTTATAAGTGTTCACATTGTGACAAGAGATTCAGTCGGTCAGGACATCTGAAAACACATGAGAGGATCCACACTGGAGAGAAACCGTACACTTGTGATCAGTGCGGGAAGAATTTTGCACGGAACGGAATCCTTATGACACATATGAAATTTCATACAGAAGAGAAACTGTACACATGTAATCAATGTGGAAAGAGTTTAACATACAAAAGAAGTCTTGATGTTCACATGAGAGTTCATACAGGAGAGAAACTGTACACATGTAATCAGTGCAGGAAGAGTTTCACACAATCATCACAACTTAAGAGACACATGAACATCCACACTAGAGAGAAACTGTACACTTGTGATCAATGCGGCAAAACATTTTTGAGAGCTTCAGACCTGAAACAGCACCTGAGAGTTCATACAAAGGAGAAGCCGCATTCATGTTCTTTGTGTGGAAAGAGTTTTACACGTTTTTCAACTTTGAAAGAACATCAGAAAATACATGCTGGTGTGAGAGATTACATGTGCTTTGAGTGTGAAAAGACTTTTACTACAGCAAACTGTTTAAAACGGCATGAGAGGATCCACACTGGAGAAAAACCTTACAAGTGTTCACACTGTGACAAGAGATTCAGTCATTCATCAAGTCTGAAAAGACATGAGATGATTCATACTGGAGAGAAACCGTATCACTGCACTGCATGTGGGAAGTGTTTCATTCAGTCATCTTCTCTACTATGGGGTGCTGTGTGTACATTGAGGAAAAAAAGTTAACAAATGATTTTAGCAAATGGCTGCAATATAACAAAGAGTGAAAAATTTAAGGGGGTCTGAATACTTTCTGTACCCACTGTAAATAACGGCAATTAGCCAATCAGAACTCGGTACTGTATGAAGCTGCACACAGCTGAAGCAAGTTTTCGCACAAAATGATTCAAGCGCAACTTTTGATTGTTTTTTTTTAAAAAGAAGACAACAGAAGGTATGGCTTTTCCTTGATTAGAATTTAAAGACATTACCCTGACATAATGTTATTGTACTGTATATGTGACTGTGAGTGACTGAGAGACGATACGAGAGCTGACATTATCAAGTATGTCACCGACTTTGCAACAAACAAACAAACAAAAACACGTCTTGTTCAAAGTCCAAAAGCATTCACTGCACAATTAAGCCTATTAGAATGCAGTTAGAATGCCCTTATACTTCAAGCAATGAAAGAAAACATACCCATGTATGAGTTTTTGTTTTTATATTCATTGCACAAGCAATTTACTTTTCTGAATATCAGCACTAGTGCGCAAGCACACATGTGCTATTAATTATTATTATTATTATTTATTTATTTTACAGTGCATAGGAACATGGTGTTTCGTTCCTTGAATAAATCAGTTTTTGAACTAATTTGTTTGTTTGTTTATTTATAAAGCACAATTAAAACGATGTAAGTTGACCAATGTGCTGTACAATCTCTAAATAAAAATTACACGGTATTAACTTTCAGGCAAACAATGACCAACAACAACAAATGTTATAAAAAAAGCCTCTTGCTAATTAGTCTGCAGAACCAAACGCTAATTCAAGTAAATGCACTTTCAATTTTCGTTTAAAATAACCTATTGACAGAGCCAGTCGGAGACGTAGAGGTAGCTTATTCCAGTGCTTCGGAGCTGCTACAGCAAATGCCTGTTCACCACTCAATTTTAATCTAGTCCTTGGACTGTCTAGGATCATTTGATTTGCTGATCTGAGAGACCTGGGTGGTTTGTATATATGAAGGAGATCCACTAAATATGGTGGGACCAAATTATGCAATGCTTTATATAAAACACTCAGTAGTTTAAAATCAATTCTATACTGCACTGGCAACCACTGAAGTGACGCTAAAATCAGTGTTACATGCTTTTTTGAACCAATTGAAGACGATTTAACAATACTTGGCTAATACCCACATACGGTGAGTTACAGTAATCCAGTTTTACAGAAATAAAAGCATAAATAATCCTTTCAAAATCACTGGAGAACAGAAACTGTTTAACCTTTGCTATTGATCTTAAATAGGAGAAACAAGATTTGACCACAGAGTTGATCTGTTTGTCAAATTTCAAAGAACTATCAAATTGGACACCAAGGTTCTTCACCACAGATTTACAGAAGGGAGCTAAATTGCCCAAGTCAAAAGAGTTTTGGGCGTCAGGAGCCCCAAACCAGATTATTTCAGTTTTGCTTTCATTCAAATTCAGATACTTTTGTGACATCCAAGATTTAACTTCATGTTAACAACTCAAAAGTGACTCAAAAGAGCTTTTATCCTGTTTCTGCAAAGGCACTTAAATACCTGAGTGTCATCTGCGTAACATTGAAAAGATACTCCATGCTTATGAAATATAGAACCTAAGGATAAGATATATAATGAAAACAAGACTGGGCTGAGAATGGATCCTTGTGGAACTCCACTAGACAATGGGGCCGTTTTAGAGTAATGTTGACCAAAATGGACTTAAAACGTCCTGTTAGAGAGAAAGAATATGAACCACTCAAGTGCCATACCCCGGATTACCACTATCTTTTCTAGAGGACAGACAAGAAGATTGTGATCAATGGTATCAAATGCTGCGCTTAAATCTAGTAAAACTAAAACCACTGAGCTGCCTAAATCAATCGAAATAAAATAAATAGAATCGAAATAGAATAGAATAGAGTGAGCCAGTGATTCAATGGTCCATTTAGATGGACTCACTTGTTTCATTTCTAATTGAATCAGCCGTTTTGAACAAATTGTTTGATTTGAATGATTCGATAAATCATTTATTAAAGGGATAGTTCACCCAAAAAATGAAAATTTTATGTTTATCTGCTTACCTCCAGGGCATTCAAGATGTAGGTGACTCTTCAGTAGAACACAAATTATGATTTTTAACTCTGACCGTTGCAGTCTGTCAGTCATATAATGCATGGCAATGGTAACAAAATCTATGAGTGTAAAAAAAAACATGCACAGACAAATCCAAATTATGATACATGGGGGGCGGCACGAGAAGTAAAAAAAAAAAAAAAAAAAATCCTCTGCGCCGCCGTGAAGCAGTTTTCTATTATCTATCATTTCACTGTGTGGGGAATTGGCGCCCCTGCTTGCTGAGAAGGTGCCGTGCACAGAAGCTGTGTGAGAAGGGGAAAGGGGAGTGGCGCGCAGCACGGGGACAGTTCACCTTTAGGTCTCTCCCAAATGGAACGGACGGGGGAGGGGGGGGGGATTAGTGGAATTAGTGTTTTACTAATATACTCTAATGGAATTAGTGGGCTAAAGTCAGTCACACCTCAACTTTCTTCCAAATAACGCACATTTCATTCATAATATTATAAATACAGGCATAAAGTTCCTGCACATTTTTGTTTTTCTGAATTGTGTGAAATGACTAATAAAAATAGGTAATATAAAACGATTATGTGGTCATGAAGGTGAATTGGTTTAGTCTTGACTTCTGGTCGTGAATGACAGTGTTGGGGTGATGGGAAATTATGCTTGCTATGCTTATACAACAATAATTTGGTTTTAACTCAACAAACATGAGATCTAATTTCACCATAATATTGTGCTTTGCAACAAAACTGTTACAAGTTCAGTTATTATTTATTTCCATCAGTTGGGTTAACGTTAGACCCTGTAATTAGCCAACGGAATTTTCAAATCTGTGTAATTATAATTTAAATTGGACTACTTTTCAAATTGTATTTCATAAACCAACATCTCTGATCATGAGAAGTGGGTCTCGCCCAGGGTGTAATTCAATGTAGAACCACCACTGCTAATACACCACTATGTCCAACTGCCTTGAGCGCGTACAAACCTCACGCACCGGATGCCGTGCACGCGCTCAAGGCAGTTGGACATAGTGGTGTATTAGCAGTGGTGGTTCTAAAAGTAGTGGTGTTCTTGTAGTAAGTGACTTCTCATGATCAGAGTACGTCACTTATTGTTTGCACAGTCATTGCGGTGTTCCCTGCCACTGTGAAGATCTAAAGATATTTAGATGTACAGGTAATCACAATGGAAGACGATTTTGATATATCAACAGACCACGTGGATTTTTTTGCCCAACCGTATTTATTTGAACCAGAATACTCAGATCAAGAACTCAGAGAGATGGAGGAAGCATCTGCTGCAGCAGCATGTCTTCAAGCCTCGGAGAGACAGAGATCTCTTTAAAAGTAGTGGTGTTCTTGTAGTAAGTGTTGTGAGATGCCAACATAAGTGGAGAGCATCTGTTGTCACAAATGTAACATAGCAATGCCACAACTACAAGACGCCGAGGAGGACATTGCCGAGGGTGTCCCGTCACACCTGCCTGACTGAAGATCCAGACTTTTCTCAGCTGTTGAGCCACAGTGTTTTGCACGTTGTGTTTAGCTTGCCACGTATAAACTGGAGGCGACGTCCAAGGCCAGAGGGACCCAATGGCACGCTGTCAATAGAGTGAGTAATGTTTTGTATTTGTAATGTTATTGCAACGATTATAGGGGTGCATATGAACATATGAGTTTATTATAGTGTTTGCCTTATATTTCAGTCAGTGCAGGTTGGTGGCGTATCATGTGGTTTTGGAGTAGATGCTGAAGGGGGAATATCTGGGCAGAAGAAATAGAAAAGTTTTACCCTCTTGTGTGGTGAAAGCCATCCGCGAGACATACCCATCCCCCTCTGGATGTTATGTGGGCTTCACAGAAGCAGACAATGCATTTGCAATGTTGTACAAATTTAAATTGAACTCTTATAATTTGTAACTATGTTCTATATATTTTCAATATTTATTACTTGTAATGTAAGCCTTTTTCTTATTTTATAGGCATTACCATTTATTATCGATTTATGAGCAATCAATGACTTTGTGAAATTTTTGGCTGGTATCATTATAATGTACATTTCAGTTGTCTTTGAATTCCTAAAATAAAACAAAATTGTCAATACATGTTAATTTCTATGTGCAATACTAAACAGTCTGTACTTATAATGGTTTCATTATATAGAGATAGACAGACAATTAGAATAAAGAGTAATGCCATTACATGAAAGCAAGTATTTTACCAGTTTAATTTTCTTTATCCATAGATTCACAAATGAAAAGTTATCAAATCACTGAAAAAAATGTAGTTATAAACAACTTAAAACCTATTATAAGTAAATAAGGAACCAAATGCAAAACAATGTTTAATAGATCAATTATAATTTAAATATCTCAATTACTGAATTTTTCCTATAAGCTTTTTGTTAAATACTCCTCATTTAGTTATTTAACAGATATATTGACTTTTGGATACTACTGTAACAGGCAATGTCAAACATACACACACACACTCCTAAAGAAAACCACCATGCAATGTGGAACTTATTAGCGTCACTTCGTAAAGTTAACCTACACTGTTGTTGGTCTGTAAAAAACTACTTTGAGAATTGTGACAAATGCTTTGCGACTGTGTCTTCCTTAGATGGTTTGGTCTGCTGCAATATGTTTTTTGGGACAGATTATATTACCAAAGGTGAAGAAGAGTCCTTGTAAATAATAGTGCTGTCCATGCGCCTCTCAAATACTCAACGTACAAGATCATCTCTGAAATTTTGAGTTGGGGACTCGTACAGTTTTCTGGCCACCCACTGTTTAGAGTGCTTGGGGAACACTACACTGAACCGTGGCGTATCTACCAAAAAATAAATAAAATTTTTTATATTTGTACTGAAATATTAAATTACAATCAGTGATGTATTGTATAGCAAACTTACCAGTGTTGGTTCTGGCCTGCTGTCTGTGAACATTCTCATTGTGGTCAAGCACTGCCACCTGGGTACGTGCAAGCATTGATGTGTAATGGAAGTGTATTCTTTTTGGGCAGTACTTCAGGAGCAGTGAATGGAACACTTCAAGCTTACCTGATAAAAACTAAAATAATACCCAATACAGTGTTCAGAAATGTTCTTTCTCTGTACATGAACATACATTATACATATGTAAACTGACCAGTATGCTTGAAAAGTGCCATCTGTCTAAGGTTCTCTGTCTAAGACAAGGTTCTCTAATGTAATGAATGCCCTGGACTTTTTATCAAGCCATTTCTTTTTTCTCTGCTCATCAGAGGTAAGCTCGCTATGCAGACATCTTCTGTCCTGGAATGAACCCCACAAATGTGGTGCAGAAGTGACCTTTTGATCAGCTCCTGATAAATTTGAAGTAAATATTTAGCTGTCTGTTACAGTTTATTTGATAAAAACCAGTTACAGAAACACAGTCACGTGACTTACATCCGGGTCACCTCCACAAGATGAACATGAAAACCACAGATGATTGCTAATGCTCTTAATCCATGGCTGAAGTGGTCTGTTGTCTTTGTATCTGGATACCGAAGCCAATTTCTTGATCATTCCTACAAGAAAAAGAAAATGTTCATCTGCATCCAAAAGTAGTTCAACATCACAGTCATCAGCTGTGTCTGACTTGAAAACAGACACAAGGGGGTGTGACATCATATTACTACTAGAGAGATTCTAAAGCATACAGAGCTACTTTATTTACAACCCTTCTGTACCTTTGTTATTTAGTGTTTACCCTGTGAAGAGGCACTTCAATTAGAAGAATGGCAATTTATTTATTTTTTGGTGAATAGTTTACTGCTGTGCTTATAAATAACAAAACAGAAGTTGAAAAGAATACACAAGTTACTGCACTAGGCATTGATTTAAAAAAGCATAAATTTTGCCACATGCCATACATAAAACTCGTGATGAATGTTTGTGTAGTCGCATTATCTTGCAAGTGGATGGGGATCTATCAGTTGTCACCACACTTACTCCAATATCGTCATCTAGGATTATGCTGAGTGCTCTCCTGAAACCAGTCGACTCCTACAGAGCTTGATGATTCTGTAACCTATAATAAAAAGAAATGGCAATTGCAAATGAGAGACAGTATTACATGGTTTGTAAATCTTGGAGAAAAACAACAGTTTTGTGAATATGACCCATAACCTGTTGTCCGTATACACACAGGTAATTTGTAGTTCATTATTCTAAATAAAACATAATAAAAAATATTACATTAAAATTGCATTACCCCAATCATATATCACTATTGTCATGAACACTTACTTGCACCAGCTCAAAGTGACCCACTTTGTCTGTATTTGTCATGAGCTGGGTTTGCTTCTGTTTCTCTCTCACACACACATACACACTCATACATATGCACACACACACACACACTCAGGCACACCCATGCTCATTCTAACTCTCATTTCCACCTGTTTGTCATCACAATCAGCGTGTGGGCTGCTTTGCGAGGACACCTGTTTCCACTCTGATCTATTAGTCACTCTATTTCTAGAGGTTAGGCTCACTGTTCTCTATCGGATTATTGTGTGTCATGCATACGGTATTGTTTGGCCCTTCATGTCGATACTACCAGAGTTCTTACCATGTCTTGTCTTGCTTAGTGTGCTGTGCTCGTCTTAGTGTTCTCTCTGTCCGGTGGCTGCTTCCAGTGAGCCCAGCCCCACAAGCTCTCTCCAAGACGGGAGTCCTCAGAACCAGACCATTCTCGGTCGATTTGTGTTTCATCCAGTTCTGTGTCATCATACGACAGACTGCCTTGTTTTGTGTCTTCAATAAAGAGACTGATTCTAACTGACTGCCTTTGCACGTGGATACTTTACAGCACCGTAGTGACAGTATTGTCATCCATCAAGCTGTATGTGGTGTACTTTGCCGAATATCCAGGACTGCGTTGAGATATAACAGAAACCCAGATTTCAACGTTTGTTACTTTAAAGAGAACATATCACATAAAAAGATCACCATTTACATATAGAATTACCTGTCTGATCTTCCATCTCAAGATAAATGCATTTCCTTTTTTTCTGTGCTTCCTGCCTTCAAATGTTCCAGTAAGGCAGTCTGTTGTTCTTTGAAAGCCTCATCAATTGCAGGTATGAGGCAAGAAGACTGTATTGCATAAAAAGTTGTTTTGTGTGGTACTTAAAGATTAAGCACAGCAGCCCATTCAGAGATGTCTGCATACGTGGACCACATAAACACAGTACCTGCTGACACTAGAAGGTTGTTTGATGGAATTCCACACACATCCGTACATGAATTCCACTGCCCCTTATGTCCTTGTTCACATTCCCAAAGAACACTGATTAGGCTCCCTGAAGTTTAAATTTTTTTCTGTGATTAGTGCACCACAGTCTTGACATCTACTAAATTGTTTCATCAGTGCCGACTCATTAACAATCCATTTATGTTCTTGCCATGGCTGTTCCTCCTCTTCCTCTGTCGTAGTGGTTGTACTGGAGGCAGATGTGGAACTAGGTGGAACAAAACTAACATTCTTCTTTTCAGATGGTGGATCTAATGAAAGCATGCTGATATTTAGGTCATCAGGCTCGCTTTCACTGGCAGCTGGTTCATCCTACAAGAGAAAAGGAAGGTGTTTTAAATATTTGTGTAAAGATGTAAAAATAATCACAAAAAATGTACATTACAAATAGCTGTATTCAGTTTAGAGTTGTTTATACCAACAGCACATTTAGCCATTTTCCAGCTTGCATGTAAAATTTAGAAACACTCTCATACTTACAAACTGCTGGCACCTTACAGCTGGAAGAGCATAATATGTCCCGGATGTGGAAGGATATGAATGTTTTTCCGATGAATGTGGACTTGTTAGTAGTAACATCATATGCTTGTGTAATTTGTCCTCATGTCCAGTGGTTTTTTCAACACCAGTTTTCATTGGCTTCTGAGGTGTTGATTGTGGAACATATTTTAGTCTGACTCGTGTTCTGCAGGCTGATCTGGTTCCTGTAGGCTTTCCTAAGAATATACAGTATTGCTTGTCAATACTATTTGAAGCTATACTAACTTGAATACACACTGTGTATTATTATTATTACTATTTTTATTTTACTTCACCCTTATGAAAAGTAAACAGTTTCAGAATGGTTTTACAACAAATCTCTGTGTCTCTGTAGTAAAACCATGGTTAACCATAGTTTAAACATGGTGCCTGTAGTACAACAGTTGTTATACAAATGGAAGTAAACCACTAAAAAACATGGTTTTATTAAATCAAAACTTCATTTTATTTGTTACTTTTCGTGAGGGCAACTTTACAAATAAAAAGGACACATACAAAGATCTTGTTCACATATCTTAGTTGGATGTGGAAAAACCATAGGTACAGCTGATGGTTTAAGTCGTATGTGATCCTCTCCTGGGTATGTAAAATCATCAGGGGAAAAATGATCGCTGTAGACCCTCAACAACTTTAGTACGTTAATGTGTGTGTTGATATCCAGCCGAAGAACAATCAACCATAACTTCCGGCGAGCAGGCTCAGAAGTTGGGAATACGTGGAAAGTCACCACTCCCGAATGAGTTCGCGCGAGAGAACGTAATCTTTTAGTTTTAAGTCGGTTTGAACAATCCGGATAAGCGCAAGTAAGTACCATTTTGATTAGCCGTCGTACCTACAATGTTTGTGCACTGTGTAAACAATGAGTGACGTATACGAGCGAGAGATCACTTCTGGAGCTTGCGTAAACTATGCCAGAGCGCGTACACACCTCACACACCGGATGCCGTGCGCGCACTCAAGTCAGTTGGATATAGTGGTGTATTAGAGGTAAAAAAATTATATAAATACTGTTCGGTTTCTCGCACAAACCGATTGTTTCGTGTCTTAGGACATCAATGGGTCGTCACGAGCCGCAGGGTTTAATTTGGATTTGTCTGTGCATGTTTTTTTTACTCTCATATATTTTGTGACCATTGCCATGCATTATAAGACTGACAGACTGCAACGGTTGGAGTTAAAAATCTTTGTGTTCTACTGAAGAAACAAAGTCACCTACATCTTGGATGCCCTGGGGTTAATCAGATAAACATAAATTTTTTATTTTTGGGTGAACTGTCCCTTTAACACAGGGACTTGCTGCCACCAACTGGTGGTTTTATTGTCATTTTTATGTATCCATGACAGGCAGATTTTGTCATTTTTAAAGAAATTCAAACAATACCATTTTGTGGCTTTTTAATGTGTCATGACAGATCACTGTAGCGCCTCTGTTCAGTTCCCGATCAGGGCGAAGTTCACAGGATTTTGTCCACAGAATGATAAGAGCACACATTATTTTAAAGAGACAGCTGGCACAATGTACTTAACATCCAAATAAATTCACAAGAGCAAGAATATTGTTTGCACATGTTTATTTACATTAAAGGCAAAATAACTGAAATAATAAGGGCACACGTATAGATCTGAAACTTCTTTAAGTCTGTCTAAATATAATTTAGTAATTGCAATGTCTTCTGGTCCATATCCTTTCCTTAGGAAGGTGTGCTAGACACTGATTAATGTAACATAAAAAAATACTATACATATTTATATATTTTGCTATTGTATTATGGAGTGACACTTTCATAAACTTTTCTATACTGCTCTGATTATATAATGGTAAATATTACAATATCATAGCACAACAACAGTGATCAGAAATAATGGAGGTAAGAAGTGGGTTATCCTTCACCTGAAATGTTTGTCTTTTCATCCTGAAATGCGAGGCAAATGTTGGATCACAATAATTAGGAACCACAGTTTCCACAAATCCCTTCATTTGATTGGGATGTTCTCTTTTATTCTGGAGGGCAGGGGCAGTGACTGTACCATCGAACGTATTTTGCAGTATTAAACACGTATTTATACCGATTTAATCAGGCTCCGAAAAATTCTTCAAAAAGAACACAAAGAATGGCCTTCTCAGCTGCCATAGTTGCAACTCTTGCATCATCAGAACAGTGTGTTCAACGCACCACCGTTTCTGTTTAAAAAACGTTTAGCACCGTTTTTGTCGTGGCTGAACGCAGCCCAGGTGAACTACTTGACTAATTCCAGTACAGAACCTATAGGATGTTGCGCATGCGCGACCGAACAAATTTGACTGAGTAAAGAAAGACATGAACATCTTGGATATTTTGCAGTATTAAACACGTATTTATACCGATTTAATCAGGCTCCGAAAAATTCTTCAAAAAGAACACAAAGAATGGCCTTCTCAGCTGCCATAGTTGCAACTCTTGCATCATCAGAACAGTGTGTTCAACGCACCACCGTTTCTGTTTAAAAAACGTTTAGCACCGTTTTTGTCGTGGCTGAACGCAGCCCAGGTGAACTACTTGACTAATTCCAGTACAGAACCTATAGGATGTTGCGCATGCGCGACCGAACAAATTTGACTGAGTAAAGAAAGACATGAACATCTTGGATTACATGGGGTGAGTACATTATCAGGAAATATTCATTCTGGAAGTGAACTTGTCCTTTAAGTTGAATATATTTAATTTTATATTTTTAATGTTGAAGTATTACTGTGCCCTGGACTTGACTGGGACTGACTGGTATGAGACAATAGACATGGTAGTCAAGGCAGCCAGACCATGGACAGCAACGACGATGACACCTTTCTTGTCACCTGTGTCACCTGAGGTCGAACAGGCTACTGAAGAGGAACTGGCCTGGATGAGGAACGGAGACACAAGCAAAGGTCAGGTAAATCCTGAAGTACAGAAAGCCATGATGAAATGCCAGGGGAACAAAGCCTGCGCGCTGGCAATACTGCAGAAAGAGGAACTGAAGATCAAAACGAGCTGCTGGATGTGTCTGCAAATGTCTCATGCCTGGAAAAAGCGCTATCGCTACCAGCATGGAGTTCACCCAAACGCTTGTACAACTGCCACAAATACGATTAGAGGATGACTGCTGCTGTCTATTCTCGTCCTCTCAGGTAGAGGCGTCTGGCATCTCAAACGCACTTACCGAATACCGATCGGCGAGATTTGCCGCTTGAAGTCGAGGGAGAAGTTGAAAACAGAT